TTATTTATTTATTTATTTATTTTGGTTAACCAACAATTGTTTACACTATATACATTACTGATTAAATAGCTATAGAAACATTTACAAGTGCAACAATTAATTATAGGTTAACACCACATGCAAAAAATAAAACGATAAACAAAACATACAGAAAAATAACAAATGATTCCATGGGTGCATATCTATCTCAAAAAGAAAAGAAAAAAAATACATTAGGATGTCAATTACTAATTATATAAATACGGAATTATTGGAACATTAAATTTAGTTACAGTTGTATAAATTGTATTACAATTATTGATAAATTAAACTTATAATAAAATCAGTAAAAAAAAACAACATTACAAATAAAAAAATAAAACAATAATATTACGAAGACAGACAGACAGTGTATGACATGAAAGTCAAATAAAAAAAAATTCTGTCGTATTTGTTGTACTTGTCGCATTTTCATGTCGGTCGTATTTGTCGTGTCGGTCGTATTTGTCGTATTTGTCGTGTCGGTCGTATTTGTTGTACTTGTCGCATTTGTCGTGTCGGTCGTATTTGTCGCATTTGTCTTGTCGGTCCTATTTGTCGTATTTGTCGCATTTGTCGTGTCGGTCGTATTTGGACTGTACTATATATATACTAATTATACTATAATAACATTTTTTGTTAGTCTGTTGGTACTAGTTAATCTCTAGAATGGCTGGACCGATTTTGATGTGATTACATAGGCGAGTAAGCTGATATGCTAAGGAGAGTAACTTAGGCTACTTTCATTTTATAAAATTGATATAAATATAAAATTTATGTCCTAAAATTTATATTCTACGAAGAAGTAGTCGCGGGCAACAGCTAGTAGATTATAAAGCAGGTAATATTATATTACACTTACCAAATATCAGTATAAGCGCCAGTTTTGTGTGAAAATGCATTTTTAAATCAGAATTAACCTACATAAATTTTCGAGTTGTTACTCTCGCAGGGTACCGCCTGCTGCTCGGCTCCAATTGATCACAGCGCAACGTTTTGTTCCACAAACTTCCCCAATAAATGCACTATCCAACACAAAAAGTATTATTGAATTCGGACCAGGAGTTCGGGAGATAACATCGATCAAACGAAAAAACAAATGAGAACTTGAGAAGTTGAGAATACTATAAAAAATAGGTAGACTTTTATATTAAACTAGCTACTCACTCTACTCGGCGCCTATTAATGGTAACGTGATATTTTATAGCCTTCCTCGATAAATGGGCTATCCAACACAGAAAGAATTTTTCAAATCCGACCAGCAGTTTCGGATATTAGCGCGTTCAAACAAACAAAAAAAAACTAACTCTTCAGCTTTATGATATTAGTATACATAAATTATTATGTTTTCGGCTTACTCACCTAATTATTTGACGAGGAACTTGACTAGTAGTACTCGCAGTAGCAGCGCGACGCGACAGCCGCCACGTCGCGGGTCGCGAAATGCTGCTCATGAATATGAGCCTCTACCATGGCTTGAAACTAGTCCGAGTTCCTCGTCAAATAATTACGTGAGTAAGCCGAAAACATAATAATTTATTCAGTTACATATAAAGTTGTAATTTAAAATTTTATATTAACTCGTCGAGTACCGGTTTTGTAGACACAATTATAGAACCATAGGCGATCACCGGTGACCGCTTGGTGTTTGACAGTTTAATGTCATTAATCTCTTTTGAACTTTAATAATATTGTAACACGTAATTTTATTGTTTATCACCGTGATCAAATACAACGTCAGTGTCGGTTCGACATCCGGGTGACTCTGGGGTCAAATTGAAGTCAATTCACGTTCAAATCATGTCCCCTTATATAATATTTTTCCTGTTTAGTTTCGTATTGTCATTTTAATTAATATTATTGTATTATTTTTCCTCTAATTTTCTTGTTAAAATATAAACAAGACTGCCTCATTGGCCGAGCGACTGCCGGCTAAGGGGTCTCGGGTCGATTCCCGGGTCGGGCAAAGAATTACTGGGTTTGTAAAATCCTCAGTAGTAGCACGGTGTCTGGAAATGTGCCCGGTATATGGCAATAGGTTCACCCCCTATTACATGGGACACATAACATAAGTAGTGAAAAATGGGTGTTACATTGTACAGTGACATTAAGTGCCATAATGTGCATCTCTGCCTACCCCTTCGGGGATAAAAGGCGTGATGTTATGTTTTATGTTATGCTACAAATAATTGTCCAACACAAATGGCGTTGGACCGGTCATAATCATGAGAGAAAACAAAGAAAAATGGTGCAAGATAGTAACTGATTGGTATCCAAGGGACGGTAAACGCAGCAGAGGAAAACAATTAAAAACATGGAGGATGTTTTTTTTTATGTCATAAGCCGGTAAACGAGCAGACGGATCACCTGATGATAAGCAATCGGCGTCGCCCATGGACACCTGGAACACCAAGTCGTTACAAGTGCGTTACCGGTCTTTTAGGGATTAGGAGTTTGAGGATCGTTGGGGATTCAGGAATTGAGGAGATTAGGGAATGGGAGGGTAATTGGGCCTCCGGTAATCTCACTCACACGACGAAACACAACGCAAGCGTTGCTTCACGTCGGTTTTCTGTAAGGCCGTGGTATTACTCTGGCCGAGCCGGCCCATTCGTGCCGAAGCATGGCTCTCCCGCTATGGAATTGCCGTTTTGAATGAAAAAAATAAAAATATTTTTTCATGTATTTTTCTAAGAAATCATCTGGACGGTAAGTAACAAATTCTTCAAGGACATTTTGTACTGCCAAACAAATAGTAATCTGTAGGTGCAAGGTCTGGTGAGTAGGGCTTATGACGGAAGGCTACCAACCCCAGTTCTTGCAATTTGGACACCGTCTGCTGTGCCGCATGAGTATGAAATACTTTGATTTGAAATGACCAGGGGGCTTACTCTTGAATCCAATTCCGATCGATCGACATTGGTATTGTGAAATTTCGTACTCTCGAGTTGCAACACTAGCACCCATCCGTTTGGCTTTATATTCCGTACTCTGAATGCTATTTTAATAGCTATGATAGGGATTGTATGGGTTGTTTAGTGTTGACATTAAATAATTATTGTAATTACATTGAGATTGGTTTCAAGAGTAAGCACCCAGTACTGCAGAACGGTGATTTCATCAATTAAAACGCAAATAAAATTACAAATGGGGGCCAGCTAAATAAAACCATTTAATAAAAAGGTTATTAAGTATTTATTTACATTTATAAATATTCCTGCACAAACAGTTGGTGTGTGAGGACGTGAGTGAAGCTGGTGATAGTGTTGTTACTGCAGTATGTGTTAGCGTGGAAGGCAGTGGAGGCCACTCCACGTAAGTAGTACCGGTAGGAGCCACGCTCTCGCGCCGGGAACGTCAGGCCACCGCCACTGTCGCGGAGGCATAGCGCTATACCTGAAATAAATAAAAAATGAAAATCTATCAGAATCTACAGTAGATACGACCATTAAAACACCAAAACACTGAAGTCCAAGTCCCAGGGACCCGAGCGAACGGCGCGTTGCGTACCGCGCGCGCCTCAAAGAGCCATCAGACCACCACAGATGGGGCCCAATAGGGCCGATGCCGATTCGGAGTCGCGGAGAACCTAACGGGTAACCGGGGCTCCGGCTCAACGTGCAGAAGAAGGAACGGGGTGGTTTTTAGTCAGTAAGAGTCTGACACTCCCTCCCGCCTCGCCCAGGCGGGAGCAGTCTTTCGATGATTTTCCCCCTTTAAAAAAAATCCCAGGGACATTAATAACTGTCTTGGTTTCCGCAACGAAATGAATCGGAAGATATTATAAGAGGAGAAGAAAAAAACACTTCACACATTATAGATACATACATACATCGAAAAGGTTAATCGAAAAGCTTGTAAAAAACATCCTTAATTTTCTCAATCCCCAAATCCCTAACCTTCGAAGGACCGCTCAGCAGTGGACACTTAAAGATAATGATGATGATGAAAGCATATCGCACCTACGGTGCAATATCGTCACTTATGCAATTTTTGTCAAACCTTAACTGATGAAAGAATACTCCAAATTCACCTCTTTACTTGGTGCGTTATTGTCATTTGTGTAGTAAGCAAACTGACACTGTGAGGGCATTACTGTCGTTACGGTTTTGGCACTAATCTGGACGGCACTAGGAGAAAAAACGTTTCATTGTTCAGTTACGCGCGGGCCCCCGCAATACATAAGTGACGGTATAGCACCGCAGGTACGATATGTTCGATTTCCAGGTCAGTTATACACACCATTTTTGTATCCAGCACAGAATTTATCTCCAGTCATATAAGCTTTGTATTTTTCTGGTATATCTGTCATACAGTCTGGCACAGAAACGTACGGCATGTCTGTCACTCGGAGCACTTCGGAGAACTGTCCCTGTTCTGTGACTCCCCAGCCTGCTACCTGTAAGCAGAAGAAAGAAAGAAATAATCGCCAGTATGCAAAGATTAATCATCAATCATTAATCATCAATTATTAATCATCAATCGACAATTGGCAATCGTCAATCATCGATTTTCAATCATAAATCATTAATCACTACGCTTTCCAAGGAAGTTAGAGACTGGGGTTTAAGTAATAGTCAATGGATAATGTCAAAAATATATTAATTTACCTTTCCAACGCTAAACACTTTTAGCTGCCGGGAATCGAACTCGTAGTCAAAGTTGATGCACACAGGCTTCACATGTTGAGTGTACACCAAGTTTGAAACCAGGGTAAGCAGAGCTATATCGTCTTGGTAGTTCGTTGCAGATCCTTGAAACCGATCCGGTACTCTGATCTCACGGATCTGAAATTAAAAGTCAAAGTCAAAGCATTTATTTCAATCAAACCATAAACAGGTACTTTCGAAACGTCAACAACAAGAAGAGTCTATCAGTCTGTCCGTCAGTGAAATTGCCCCATAATAGGACTTTCTCCTGTCTCACGGTTAAATAAGACAACCCCAGACCTGGATCAACAATTTGTGGACCACTCGATATTTTTTTCGTGCGGGAATCGAACCCGGGACACTTTGCGTGGCAGCCGGTTGCCCAGTCATCGCGGCAACCGTACAACAATGCAAACCTAAATTAATTATTATGCTTTTCGGCTTACTCACGTAATTATTTGACGAGGAACTCGACTAGTTTCAAGCCGTGCTAGAGGCTCATATTCATGAGCAGCATTCCGCGTCGCCAAAAACATAACAATTAATTTAGTGTATCTTTTTTTAATAGCATAAGCCGGTAAACGAGCAGACGGATCACCTGATGGTAAGCAATCGGCGCCGCCCATGGACACTCGAAACACCAAAGCGTTACAAGTGCGTTACCGGCCTTTTGTGGAATTGGGAATTTGAGGATTGTGGACGATTCGGGGATGCGGGAGACGGGGACTAGGGAACGGGGTAATTTGGCCTCCGGTAACAACACTCACACGACCAAACACAACGCAAGCGTTGTTTCACGTCGGTTTTCTGTGAGGCCGTGGTATAACTCCGGTCGAGCCGGCCTATTCATGCCGAAGCATGGCTCTCCCTTAACTTAAGTCACGACAGTTATAACATAGGGCTATCCTAGGCTAAGACAGATGACATTTCATCATCATCATCTTCATCATACCAGCCATAGGACGTCCACTGCCTCACACAGTCCCCAATGACAATGACTTCCAGATAGGCTGGTTGGAAGGGATCTGCATCCAGCGGTTGCCATCGCTTAAATGTCTTTAACGGCATTTTATTTTTCACAAACTTATAAGTGACACCTAACAAGTAAGGTGTCGCGGTGGCCTGGAGGTTTAAGACGCCCAAAATCCATGCATGATGATGAAGTTTCGATACCTATCAACGGCAAGTACCAATGTGACTTTTTCCGTGTTATATGTACTTTCTAAGATTATTCAGACACCACTGACAAACGGTGAAGGAAAACATCGCGAGGAAACCTAGACTTATAATTTGTAATTATAAGTTTCAAATCACCAACTCGCATTGAGCAAGCGTGGTGATTAATGCATTTATAGGCTGTTGATGAACAAGTAAGGGGTCAGTTTAAGTGCTACGTCAGGTTTAGGGGTGGTTTGTGAAAACGACCTTAAACTTCAAAAGTATAAAATATCAAATATATAAAAAAAGTATTACTTCTTACATCGGATATTTGCACGTTGGTGTCGTTAGGATGGCCCCAAGATCTATAAAGCTTGCTTGCCGCCACCACGAAGTTTGCAGGAGACAGCAGTTCACCACGCGACCAAAAACAGTGAGCAGCTGGAACAGAGGTCCAAAAATTATACAGTCAGGGTTCCAAAGAAGACCTAGGGCTCCGGCTCGGAACAAGAGTGAGAACAGGGAAATTATTAGTCAGTATTTTTATAGGGCAAGCCCGCCACAGCCTCTCAAAACCGCTGCAACTCCCGTAAGCCAGGATCTACAGTAGATACAACCATGAAGACACCGGAACACTGAAGTCCAGCACGTCTCAGGGACATGAATAACTGTCTTGGTTTCCGCAACGAAATAAATTGTACGGATTTTGGTGCTACAATGTTCTCGCACAATCAAACCAACAAAACTTATATACGGTTGAATTGAGAACCTCCTCCATTTTTTTAAGTCGATTAAATACTATGTAACTAGAGAATTGTATTGTAAACCTGATTGAAAAAGAGTAACCTATGGAGTTTCTTGCCCGTTCTTCTCCATAGGAATCTACACCTTGGAATGAGCAAATAGCTTCACTTTTATTTTTTATTTTTTTGTTGTTCTAAAGTGCCGTATGGTCTAATTTAAATAAATGATTTTGACTTTGACCTTGCACTTCTGTCCGCACTCTCTGTTTTTATGTTACCTGATATAACAATATTGTTCTTGACGATGGTCCCACTACACCACTGTTCATGCTTTGACCCCTTGTAGATAGCAACGTGCCATGGCAACTCGTTCCTCCTCGCTTCTCGTCCAGACCCCAGCAATAAGGGGTCTGCGGGGTCACCGAGTCTTCCACAGTCTTTAACAAAATTGTAATATTTTATTATACATATAGATAACTTACGATGTTTATTTAAATTTATATAAAGGTTATTAAAGGCATATTGAATATCACAGCATTGAGTAATTGTGTCTATATTGTCATAATATGTATGTCATACTGAGAGAATTTAACTCTTATTAAGTCTATTAAACTGTCAAACACCAAGCGGTCACCGGTGACGGTCACCGGTGACATAATGACGGTACTCGACGAGGTTAAAGTTTTATTAATGACTAGCGACCCGCCCCGGCTTCACACGGGTGCAATATGCATGTATTATACATACAAACCTTCCTTAAGAATCACTCTATCTATTAAAAAAAACCGCATCAAAATCCGTTGCGTAGTTTTAAAGATCTAAGCATACATACGGACATACAGCGAAAGCGACTTTGTTTTATACTATGTATTGAT